GACGATTGCCGCAATTACAATATTACAATATCCCTACGCAATGACTAGGTAAGGGGAATACCTCAAATTTTTAAATGAATTCGTATATTTATGTATATAGTAACCAATTAGATCTTGACAGTGATGTCATTTGAAATGGTGAGTTTCTATATTCGCTAAGTTCGCAAGCCAAAAACACTATCAGTAAACTATTCCATGTGTTCCTACAGGAAAAGCAAATTCGGTCAAAGTTAAGGTTTTATATATTATACCACTTGTGGTACAAGGTATATTAATATAGTGCGGACGTATGTAACAAACGAAAGGGGTTCTGAAGTCCCTCTGTATGTCATATGCTTATCCATGCAAATTTGCATTCAAGTTACAAGTTGCAATTTTCGAAATATTGTGCGAAATTTGGTACTCCGAGTTGGAAACTGGTTTGCAATAGGTGTGATGTTATTATCAATTGCTTCAAAGGAGCAACCAAAGTGACGGTAGAGGGTAAGATTCATATAATCGCGACAATAGTAAGTTTTAGTATATAATATTGTCACTTTCAGCAGAGGACAAATACAATGAATGGGGAGCTCAATTAGTGTCAGTTGTCTATAAATCAGATAAAACCAAGTTTAAGGATAGTTCAGAAGAGAAAACGGGTTGTATTTTTTGTTCAAGTGATTTTTCGCATTTAGTGGAAAAGCATCGTGCCGTTCCATCGAGGCCAGTAAATATATGTGATAATAGTGGTGGAACCGGCATTGGACGCGGAGGTCGTGGTGGCGGTCGCGGTAACAAAGGACGTAGCAGTGGAAGAGGAAGTCGCGGCGGAACACGGCCACCCAAAGATAAAATGGCTGAATTGGCAGCTTATTTTGTTTAAAGTATTTGGAAGAAGCATCTACGAAAGTATGCAAATGCAAGTATCTTATCACCTTTCCATATCGAATGGAATAGACGGACTCTTTGGAATACTTAACAAAATAAAAATTGTATTAAAAAAAAAAGTCGTTTAATTTAAGATCAAAACAAACAAATACTAAAGGGATAACATGCCTTGCAAGCAATACCTGACCTTATTTTGGGAACATGGCAATTTTTTTAACAAGAGAAGTTTTGTAAAATTGATATTTCATTGCAAAGTGCATCGGACGGTTGATAAGACTGTCCCGGAAGGTTAAGCAAATAAAGTGCGACTTAATGACGACGGGAATTTATAGAAAGAAGTATCCAAGTACCCAAGAGGGTTTAAGTTTCCCAATTTGATAAATATGAAAATCCTCCGTAATGAAGAGCGTTTTAACCTTGATGAAATTTATCTCCGACAAATTAATTGGCTTGTTCCTCGATCACGACAAAAGTTTTATATCTATTGTTTTCCTTTCTTTCGCCAGGTCAACCGACCGACGCATGTTAAAAAAACACACACACAGTTAGAAAAAAAAAAAAAACATTTATTTTTCCACATGACAGCCATAAAATTTTAATGCTTTTAGTTTAATGTTTTGACATTTCTTTGTCAATTTCGAAATAAAACACTCATCAAAATTCTTCACCATCCAAAATTCTAGGAAAATTTATTCAAGCCATGACTCCTCTAAGAATGAATTTTAATGCGTACAATTGCTCACATTTGCTATGCCGCTACATATCTTGCACTTTCAGCTACATTTCACAAACACAGAATGTGTGTAAAAGATAAAGTCGAATTCTTTAAAATACCACACTCCCGCATGTCTACATGTTCTACATGAACTTAGACTCTGCTAACGGTGCATAGCACCTGAACTAGTGGAAATGGAGTGATAGCTTTCCAAGTTTGTTTACTTCACTGTTTACTATAGAACGCGCCTTTACAGCGTATTCGATTGATTGAATTTGGGCGGAATGGACATTTTGTTCACTGAACACGGATTTTTTCCTGAATTTTTATATGATTGTTGCAATTATTTATACAGTAGCCATAAAACAAATGTATGTGCGAATATTAAATTTTTATCTTAATTTTCACTATGGCGAACGTTTGAATAACCGAGAAATAGACTATCGACTAAGCACGGTTAAGTTATTTCATTAAGAACGTTTATTATTTATGGGTTGCGAATTGCGGATTTTCTTTGATGGATGGAAAGGGGAAATAATATCCAACTTAGCAAATCTCTTGCTACGTATCATACATAGATTCTCGATCTTACTTATACACGATCTTTTAGTAGCTGGCGGAGAGCAAAAGTTTGCGTAACTTACGGGAAAGCAAACCTAAGTCGATTTCGGTATCCACGGCGAAAAGCAACTACTACTTTATAAAGTAAATATAGCAATTTCGCATATCTTATAATAAACAAATCTATAAATAAGTAGACCTGTGTCCATTTTTCGTCTTCTGCAACGCGTGAACGGCTGAACTAGAACATGTATTCTAACTTGGAAGATATTTGTTATTTTATTAATATGTCAATTGTTTGGCAGAACAACGGGGATTTCATTGAAAGAAAAAATAATTCATTGAAACTGAACAGTGCTAAACACTTTATAGTATTCTTTAGAAGTGGGAGAAACAATGACGCATAGCTTAACTTCCGTGCAGTCCACTGTACCGAAATCGTAGTCCCCCCAACGCTGAAAAATTTCGCGAGCGTCAAAAGAATTTATAGTTGACCGTATGCGGCGACCACTGTGACCAGCATCCATAAGGGCGACATGCAATGTCTCATGATTCGATGAAAAGGCCTTCCGTCCGAGTCCGCTGTCATTGAAGCGTTTTGTACAATGGTTAGCAAATTTGATGAGATCAGGGCAATCAATACCAGCCCGCAAAGTACGCACGGCGCTTGGGTTATCGCCTTTGAATGTCAAACCTTTGGCATGAATTTTAAAGGGCGTTTTCATATCATGCACGTATTCACCGCAGCTCTGCAATAAATTTATGGCTTTTTGTTCTTCAATTCCATCTGCCAGTAGGCATATACCAAACGTAATATGCAAATGAGTATCACTGCGAAATAGATCCTCACCGATGCCAGGAATTTGAGCGGCTAAGATTTGTTTTTTGAATGTGACGAATTTTTCACGAATTTCACCACACAAAACTACGCCATAAAAATGTTTCGATACTAGCTTTTGCCTTGCGTTATGTATTTTGAAATCGATTTGCCTTTTAACTTCATTCACGGTATCGCTTGTTTTCCCTTTAATTTTAATGTAAGGTTCTTGATTAAAAACACCGCGAGGTGGTACATGAATTTCAGAAGACGACTCCGTTTGGAGATCTTTAAAATCAGTAATGACTTTGAAAAATGCTGGTGCAACATGCATTTTTAATTGAATTAATCCATTACTCAATTTTTCAATGGAATTTTCCATATTATGGTTTGCGCGACGCTCATCCTTGCTTTTATTTTTATTTATCGATGTATTCATATTGGCTACTTCTTAATAACTGATAAGACGATTGCCGCAATTACAATATTACAATATCCCTACGCAATGACTAGGTAAGGGGAATACCTCAAATTTTTAAATGAATTCGTATATTTATGTATATAGTAACCAATTAGATCTTGACAGTGATGTCATTTGAAATGGTGAGTTTCTATATTCGCTAAGTTCGCAAGCCAAAAACACTATCAGTAAACTATTCCATGTGTTCCTACAGGAAAAGCAAATTCGGTCAAAGTTAAGGTTTTATATATTA